CACTTGTTTATTTATCCATGAATGAAAGGTGGGACGGATGTGACTACATGCAGAGAGAAAAGCCACTTAAACTAAACCTCAGTGTGACTGTGGCCGTAGAGTTGAAGCAATATTTCAACATTACTTATCACAAGGACAAAAGAAGAACACCTTCCTTGGCTTTGTCCAAATTTAAAAATAATGAGAAACAGAAATGTAAAAACAGCAGTAACAGCTTCTTGTTTTCTCTGTAAATGGTTTTCAGAAACATTTCCAGCATTGTTTAAAATGGAAAGGTACAAACACTGCCAACTCCCAAATGGCATTTAAGACCCCGTGTGAAATCAGTCTCAGATTTCGTCTGTTTGCACTCTGCGAGATGTGGAGATTCAGCAACACACAGCAGACACAGGGAGCTTTAAAAGAAGGGAATACTAATGATCTGTCTGATTTAAAGCATCAACATGTCCTCAAACACCAGCATGAGGTCGAAGACAGACACACAAGGGCCAAAATAAAACTCCACAACCATCAAACTCTGGAAACAATCACAGCCAACATATAAGATCCACAATTTGTAAACAACAATTTCAGCATGTTATCTTTAAAGCACTAAAAAAAAAAAGAACGTAATCAACATAATAAGGAAAATAAGGACACACATAGCTTGTGATTCAGGAGGATGACAGGCTATGTGTGTCGTAAATCTGTCACTTTCAAAGGTATGAATACAGTATACATGCTAAAATCCTAACATTGTGTGTGAGGACACATAGATAACATACCAACAATTTGAGGACATGACTGACACAGTGTGTACTCTAAGTTTTTTTTGTGCATCTGTAAATGCTATTGTTGCTGTGCTGTGTTTAAAATTTAACATAATAAGTGTTTTCTTTGTCAGTCATTTCTGTTACAAATTACATGTTTTTCAACTAAATTTGACCAATAAAACTGATTTTGGTGCCTTTAAAACACCATGATGTCACACCCAAATGCTACACATAATTTTGTTTCGCATTAAAATATCTTTACACTCTACACAGGCCAGCCTTTCTCACTTTATCTCCGCTAGTTCCTTCTGCAGAGCAGCATATCAAAAATCTCTTGCACATTCCAACATGTTCACTAGAAAATGAGGGAGTGACAAATAGTTCATGCCGAGCAGGAAGAAGGGTGAGTTACAATAAGTGAAAAGATTCCTCTCTTAAATAAAGACTTTGGAATTCATTTAAATTGGCTTTGGAATTTTACTCCTGTTTGCTGAAACAAATGACTGAGACAACCTTAAAATACAATGAAAATAATCAAAATAAAAAAATACATAGCAGTAAACTGGTTACCTTATCTTGTCTTATCTTATCTTATCGTTAATAACAGGGTGGAAGTCTATTTTTGTCATGTGTGGAAGAGAAAGCATATTTTGTTAATATTAATTCCTTATTTTAGCTCTGAATATATGACAGTTCCTAACCCTGTGATGCTAAATGTGTTGTATTATTATTCATTCACTCTGCATCATCAATGTGAAAAACTACTGTTTACAATCACACACATGCAGTTTTTTTCCAGTGAGGAATACATTATACAGAAATGCCAGATATAGCAAAAATTATATTTAATATTGGTATTTAGTTTATTTAAAAAATAACAGAAGGCTTAATAAAAAGTTTGGTTCTCTCTCATTTGAACTGAATTTTGTGGCAATTTTTTTCATGGTTCAGCCTTTACAGAGTTAAAGCTCCGCCCCTTATGTAACACACTTGAGATATTCCAGTAACAGTTTGTCATTTTTCCGCATCTTGCTTTCCACCCCCATCCCCTCCCGCCCAGCACACACACTCAAGTGACTCGAAACTTTATTTAGCTCAGGCAGATCACATCAGCAGCATCTACTGTGAGAGAGCAGGAGGAGGTTCCATAATTCTGGCACTTCAACCTGCTACAACACCGTATGCTGAAGTTTGCTGTAAGTTTTACTGAAGGCATGATCCAAAGGTAAAGTAAATATCAGTGAGGATAAAGTTGTGACTGACTACATTGCTTCTATGCTTTCAGATTCACCCAGAGAGAAATGTCTTTCAGATCAAAATGATGATCTCTCCTGTCCTGTCTGCCGTGATATATTTAGAGATCCTGTTGTCCTCTCATGCAGCCACAGCTTCTGCAAAGCTTGCCTGAGGAACTGGTGGACAGAGAAACGAATACAGGAGTGTCCAGTTTGTAAAAGAACATCATCGAGGAGTGACCCAACTTGCAACTTAGTATTGAAAAAACTGTGTGATTCAGTGTTACAGAGGAGAAGTTCTGCAGTGTCTGAGACCCTCTGCAGTCTCCACGGTGAGAATCTCAATCTCTTCTGTGTGGACCATCAGCGGCCAGTATGTGTCGTCTGTCTGCATTCAGATGAGCACACCAGACACAAATTCAAACCAATTAATGAAGTTGCATCAGTTAACAGAGCTCACCTCCAGAAATCCCTGAAACCCTTAAAAGAGAAACTGAAGCTTTTTCAACAAGTTAAAGAAAACTATGAGAAAACGGCAGAGCACATCAAGGTCCAAGCCCAAACCACAGGGAGGCAGATCAAGGAGCAGTTTCAGAGGCTGTGCCAGTTTCTACAAAAAGAAGAGGAAAACAGAACAGAAGAGTCAGGAGATTACAGATAAGATTAAGGCTCTGAGCAGAGAGATAGACAGTCTTTCAGACACAATCAGTGAAGAGAAGGAGCTGAGAGCTGGAGACGTCTCATTCCTGCAGAACTACAAGATCGCAACAATAAGAGCTCAACGGCGCCCCCTGCTGGATGACCCACAGCTGGTTCCAGGAGCTCTGATAGATGTGGCCAAACACCTGGGCAACCTGGCCTTCAACATCTGTAACATGAAGAAACTGTTTTCCTACTCACCTGGGATTCTGGATCCCAACACAACAAATCCAGAACTCGTTCTGTCAGAACATCTGACCAGTGTGAGACGTGAAAGTGAACAGAAGCTCCCTGACAACCCCGAGAGGTTTGATTACTGTCGCATTGTTCTGGCCTCTGAGGGCTTTAACTCAGGGACTCACAGCTGGGACGTTGAGGTTGGAGAAAGCGAGGACTGGTTTGTGGGTGTTGCTGCAGAGTCCATTCAGAGAAGGGAAAGCGCCCGTCCTGTTTATGGAAAATAGGATGCTTTAATGGTAATTACATAGCACGGTGCTTATCGGATCCCTCGTTGGCTCTTACACTGAAAACAAAGCCCAGAAAGGTCAGAGTTCACCTGGACTGGTACAGGGGAATACTGTCGTTCTTTGACCTAGATACGAACACACACACTTTCACAGAGAAGCTGTTTCCATATTTTAACACTGTAAATGTGTATCCACTGAAGATAATACCCAGGAAAATAGCGCTAAAGCCCTGGTCAGACAGTATTAGTGTAGGAGTCTAAATCCATTTTTTAAAAAAGTAATTAAAGGATTTCTGTTAGTGTCATATTCAATGTTGTTACGTTTGATGTGATCAATATAAAGGGTTAGCATTTTTAAATCAGATTTCATAACTCATTAGTTTAATAAATATTTAAGATTCATGCAAATTATATATTTTTTGGCACTTTAAGGTGGGATAATTATTTAGTATAATTAATTTATGCATTCTATGTGTGCTTATTATTGGATGCCATTTCTATATAAGGTTTAATTTGGACATGCACTGAGAAAAGGGGAAAAAGGCACTTATTGCATTTTTAAGATTTTTGTAAGGGTTTAATATGAAACGTATCACCGCCATGACGTTTGGAAATATCTTGGTATGAAATAAAGGGCCTCAGTGAAGTTTATCAGAGTCTCCTGGATCTGTTTGTCTGGAAGTGTGGATTCCATTGAGGGAGGAACTTGGGAGTATCGCGCTAAGGATTCATTCATTAGGATTTACAATTAGTGTTGACTGAAAACCTTTTGTAGCCATTCCAGGTGTCATTCAAATACATTAAATTACAGGTTCTACACCAGCATCACCACGTAGCTGTGGGAAACATGTACCTGAATGTATGGATTTAATCATAGTATAATGTGCCAAATTGAATGTAAGTGCAAATGATGCCATTCAAGGTATTGGAAGACGTATTTAAATATCTGAAAATTTCACTTAAAAATAAATTAATCAAGTGCAATAGAATATATTTATTTAAAAAATATATTGTAATTTTTCCTTTTAAGTTCCTTTCTAATCATGTCTTATTTCTACATACTTTGCACATTATTTGAAAAATCTATTTTCCTTTAACATGGCTAATGTGTCTGAAAACAAAACTTCAGGAGATGTGTTGAAGTGCTTGGAAAAAAAAGTCTTAAATGTTACTTGACATCAATACAATATTGTTCGTTTCAAAATTTATTTCAAACAAAGAAATCTGAAGATTTGCGGCAGTGTCATCCATATAGAAAGAAAATGTAAACGGTTTATGTGACTGATTTTATTTTTCTGTAGTTTAATGAAATACAGAGTTGAATCAGACCAAAGAAGCCATGACGTTTCTCTCTGGAGGTCAGAAGTCGGGAGATTGTTTAATGAATATGTGACAAAGTTTAGAAGCAGAACATCACAGGCAGCATCTAAATGTGTGAATTTCGCTGCTGTCTGAAATAAAACACATGCCCACAGAAAGGTTCCTTTAAGATAATTTATTTTGTACAATAAAACTGAAGTCTAGAGCATGCTTTGTGGAGAAGACGGTGGAAGAATGACTTCTCACACACCCTGGATGTTTCACTTCTCACCACTTGCATTGCTATTGAGTATCTTACAAAGATGGACAGTCAATCAACTTAGCAGTCAATTGTGACAAAGAGACTGATACGAGATGTCAAAACAGGAACTGCTACCAGTAGTTAACTCGTTGCCGATCAAACAAAATTTGCAGCAGGTGCGTTCAAGAACACCACAAATCTGAAACAAACATGAACCACAATATGCAGGATACTTAAAAAAAACAAAACAAAAAACTTTCATAATATTTGTTCTACCATGCCAAAAAAAAAAAAAAAAAAAAATCTGTAAGAATAAACATAGTACATCCACTCCAAGTTCTGTTCCACCTCTCAGAAAGGCATGTTTGTGTTTGTCAGTAATTATGTGGCTAAGATCATCACACGGTGAGCATTGTGGGGTCATTGAACGCAGCCCTCTCCGTTTTCGGCCCAGGTTGGGGTGTGCGAGAGGCGTTTTGTTCCATTTACTTAGGAGGCCTGTAGGCGATCTTCCTGCTCTTCAGCACAGACCACCTGTGTCTCTTCATGTAGTAGAGCAGAGGCACAATGATAGCTGAGCCCATCAGCAGCTGATAGGAGAAAGAGAACACAAACATTAACCAATGCCAAGATCCATGCTTAGACATGTTTTCTATGTTTTAAATATTCTTGAGACGACAGGAAGGTCACATAAGAAGTCGTACAGTTTAGTGCATGACATAAAAACTTTTATTTTATACCCACAACATGTGTCCTGTAAAATATCTTACAGAGTTGCATGTGTTGATTTAATTAAACATATTTAAATTTGGAGTATCACTCAATTAAGAATGGGTGTCATTTTAAGTGCTGGCAAAGACAAAAAATAGGCACTCCAGTTGGTGAGAGGTGTACCTTCAGTCCCATGCGTTTGCGTTGGTCATGCTCGGGCTCAGCAGCCCACCTTAAGAAAGTACACACATCCTTAGCAACCTGACTCATGGTGGCAGGGGTTCCTATAAGAAACCAAGAGAACAGAAACCATCAGCAACACTTTTTTCATTTGTTCCTTCCAACCCCCCCCCTCCTCCAAACTGTCATGCTTCATTTATCAATGTAATAACAAATTACTTTGCAATAAAGTAAATGGATTCACTCAGGCCTCACTCTGAATGCCACAAGTCACAAAGAGGCGTCTTTCTGTCACATCCTCTCAGAATGGTGAACAGATTTTGATCTATAAACGCCAGTGTTTAAAAAAGCAAACCTGCGGAATGACTGGGCAATATTTTCTGCCAGAAAAGGATACATTGAGCAAAGAGCTGCAAGTGTTTTTGAAATCCATGAATTTCAGAAGACTTCAGACAAAAAAAAAGCCAATTAAATGCTTGTTACTGTCTATTTGGTGAATTCCCACATTCATTTCTATCCACCATTATATTTTATGACGATTTTATTTTTTAAATTCGCCTTAGACAATATGATAACTACTGAGCAATCCACCCTGCACTCTTAGTTTCAAACTTGAGTCACAGCTAACCAGACAGCATGGCCCTTGCAGTCTCCTATGCCCCTACCTGGAAGCTCATTAGGCGCCTGCAGTGAAACCCAAAAACACAAGTGTATGTATATTAAAAGGTAACAGGAAAGGCATGTTTTGCATGTCTTCGTTTTTTGGTTCACTCCAACAAACTGAAACTCTTTCTAAAGAGGGGGAAAAAAACAAAACAGAAAATAGTGCTCCCATTTCTGTAGCTGGAGAGAAGATTATCCAAACATGCACCTGCACTTCTTACCATCATCATACTCCAGAATTTCATTGTAGATCGGTGGGGCCATGCCAATAGCCTGCCCAGGGAAGTAGGGGTTGTAATAAAGTCCCTCTCTCACTATCACTCCTGCAGGAGGGTCGCAGTAACCCGTCAGCAGGCTGAACACATAGTCTTCTCCTCCGTGTCTGCAGGGAGCAGAAGGGTGAAACGAGTTAATGCTAAGGATACTGCAGATTTTGCACCTTTCAGAGTAAACACAGGTTTTCAGGACTTACCTGGCGTTCACAATGTAGCTAAGGTCTGGAGGCAGGGCGCCATTGTTGGCGGCCCTGGCTGCCTCGGGGTTGGGGTAGGGCTTTGGGAAATAGTCTGACAGCTTTCCTGGCCGGGTGAACATCTCGCCACTCTCATCAGGACCATCAACTACCTCTACCTAAACACAAATCATGAGAAGAGATGGGTCACCACCTACGGGCAGAACTTACTTCTACAGATAAAAACAATGAGACAATTTAAAGGAAAAAAAAAAGAAGATTCGGTCTGACTAAAATACCATTATGTGATTAAATTAGAATATTGGCAGAATCAAGACTATTCACAGGATCACATCTCCCCACATATAGACTCACCTCTTCAGCGATGGTCTTCACCTCGTCCTCTGTGTGCGACACTCCCACGAGGTTTCTGAAAGCCAGGTATTCCATACTGTGGCAAGCTGAGCACACCTGCTTATACACCTGGTAACCACGGCGAATACTGTGGGAGGCAGAGACAAAGATATGAAACATAACGAGTTATTTTATAAGAGCTGTCTAAAACTGCCAAAACAGACTTTCAATGAAAAATTCAGTCTGTATAAAGAAAACAAACGTGAATAAAGTGAAATTCTCTGCAAACTCAAGTCTTCAAAGCCAGCTAATTTTTTTAGTGGCAGTTTTACATTCAGTGCCTTTCATCACTCAAAGGATGTTTACAAACACTTGAACAGTCTGTATACATCCAACTCACCTAGCATGGTCCAGAGAGGACAGAGGTCCAGCGTGACTCCAGGGGTACTGAGGGGGATGAAGCTCCAACTCGGATGCTTTAACCGACTGGTGCAATATCAGTGCAAGCCCGGCTCCACCGGCTGTGACCACACCCAGCGTTGTCAGGGCAACCTTCTTCCCCCTTGGCAGGCTGGCGAAGGACATGCTGGCCTGTGAATGGAAATAAGCACAAAAAGTTACTTTAACAAACTCATCCAATAAGGGTAATCTACAGACGACTATCCATTAGATTCAGTTACTTTAAATTATATTAGAGCTGAAATGTACTTTGCTTGGGCATGGCGCCCAGGTCTACCGGGCTACTGGATATCCAAGTACATTTGACAATTTATTGTTTGGTCTGAGTACATAATTATTTTTCAAGTTTACAGTTTCCCAGTGGGGCTAAGGTCTTCCTGCTTTGTGTTGACCTTTTGGCTGGTATCCTTCAACATCACACAGCTCTCTCTGTGGACTACAAGAATAATTCTTGTTCTACTCTGAAGAATTGCTATGAGCTGAAGGCCAAGGCTGAGTAAAACCTGCTGCAGGTAAAGAAGTTTGTGTGCAAGGTTTAGTTAATTGAGTGGCCCTTTTTTTATAATCCAGTCTGGTTGTCCTTATGAAACTGCCCTTCACAGCTGATTTTGTAACCAGGTGTTAATGGCAGCATGTGATAACAGCATCCTCACATCAGCAAAAAAAACATAACACACCAACCTCCACCTCTGACATAAAATAATGCATGGCAACATTAATTTAGGGTACTTTATTTTAGTTAAGGAAGAAAATCAATATAATAGTTAATAGCCTAAAGATGGGCATGCATGTCATTTACTAACAGGAATGCTCCAATTTAGCCATTTCTCGCTATGCCCTTCTCCATCTCTACTGGGATACTCGCTCTGATTAAGCATTAGTAAAAAAGCAAATAGAGTTTGGGAATCATATCTTCGCAGTCTGAAGATTATATCCCCAATAATCAAAACAAAATGATCTCAAAGAAACTAAAGCTGAAAAACGTCTCCTTGTCCCTGAACCAGGTCACAAGCTCAGTTGGGGCCAAATGACAATTATGTTCAGCTTCTTAGGTATTTTCGGTTATATCCATCGTCTGAAACGCGCATCAGTGAATTGTAGACAGGGCACAGATATTTAGTTTGGCGATTGAAATTGAGGACGGTTTTTATTCACCGGAAGTCCTTTCAGTCCTTGAGATGCTAACTCTTTAGCAAGCTGTTTAGCTCAGCGACTTCAGCGGGTGTCGTTACTGACAGAAGTCAACAATCGCGACCCACGCCAGCTGAGTTTAAATATGCACAAATACAGTGGCCAAACAATTCACATTAATCTTCATGCATCGCTGGCCAACGTATATTTTAACCACGTTGCACGTTTGCCGGGTGCTGGACACGACATCATGGTTTAGCTCACCGGCTAGCTTCCTAAACACATTGAGGAGAACCTGCTTTAAACTGTCTGTGGCATTTCATTTTGGAGATACTGATGCCGTATCACTATCAAGAGGTTATGAGTGATAAAACATTTAAGAAATTAAAGCTACAGTTGTTGGTCAAATCCTAAAAAGTGTGGGAACACGAGTGACCTTGTCTCACCCCGCTGTCCGCACCAAGCTAACCTTAGCCAAGACACCTCACAGCACCGGTTTTCTATTAAATCGTGTCCTAAACACGTTCATGTGAGATAAATACTACTACACTACCTTGGAGGCCCTGAGAGTTTTCGGGGTGCTGAGGAGAGCCCTCCCCTTCCCCGATAGCACCACCGCTCGTAGCGCCGCCATCTTCTTTGCGGTTCTCGCTCTGCTCTGGAAGGAGTTGAGGCAGATAAACAGCTTGTTCCGGTCTGAAACTTCAAAATAAAGACGGCCAGTGTGAAGCGTTTTGGCCTCAGTTGTCAAAATAAAATCGCTGAGACCATGCCCTCCATATCTACAATGTATGAAAAAACAAGGGAATTACTGAATACTGAGTACGTTCAAATTACTCTAGATTTATTTTGAGTTTTGCATTATTTGTATGCAGTTGGTTTATTTAAGTAACAAATTTCTGACATTTTCAACAGCTAGTTTGCCATAAACTGTGGCATACAATATTTCAGAAGTCAGTAAAAGCAAGACAGAATACATGTGTGTAAATAAGCGAGAGAGAGATGTAATAATGAAGCTGCAAGGAACAGAGGTAGAAGATTTTAAATACCCAGACAACCACTCACACCTACAGACAGTTTAGAATCAGCAGTTAAACTAATATGCATGTCACTGCACTGTGGGATGAAGCCAGACTGCCTGAAGAGAAAACCCACCCAGACACATAGAACATCCCATCTGGACAGCAAATTCAAACCTAGGACCTTTTTCCAGTGAAGTAATGGTGCTAACCACTACACCATCCTAGTACTATATAATACATTATATAATATAAATGTACATATTTTCACAAATTAAGATATAAGAAAGAAGTAATACAACTTTATGCTTATTTATTTATTTTAAAATAAATACCTCTGCAAGTGGAGAATATGGGCCTTTTGCAGTGGCAATAAGTAGCGTATTGCGTATTTATTTTCTTCATACTGTCTCTTATTATGAAGGTAGATACAAAAGTACACCGGATCTATAAGATGCTAGCTAACTTGACAGAAATCTTACACAACTAATTTACACAACATTTTTTTTGGGAGGGGGGGGGGGTGTTAAGTAACGTTTATTTGTAACATTCTGTCATTAATAACATAAAACTAGTATTTACAGATTTTACCCTTACAGCTTCTTTCTGACCAGATTTCTAGCAATGAATGAAATGTAAAGTTGTTTTTTTTGAAGAAAATGTGAAAATAGCCCCACCTAGTGGCCGCTCCAGGACTTTTCAGACATCCATCCATCCATCCGCTTCCGCTTATCCTTTGTCAGGGTCGCGGGGGGCGCTGGAGCCTATCCCAGCTGTCATAGGGCGAAAGGCGGGGTACAACCTGGACAGGTCGCCAGTCTGTCGCAGGGCGACTTTTCAGACATTTTTACCTAAATTGCAAAGGCTGATGTCACACTTCTATCTGCTGCTATTTTAAACTTTTTTTCCCCTGTAGGCTGACCTATGGCACTGTGAACGACTGAAAGCATGGTGAAATTTAAGGCTTTTACTTTTTAAATCAAATAAATCGATAAATCAATAAAGTAATAAGTTATTAATTAAACTAAGATCTTTCAAAGCTACAGTCCTTTTATAACAAGAGCTTTCTTTGTACCCCCTAAACTGTTCCTACATGAAGTCATATTCATGATGAAAAGATTTTCTTTCTTTCTTTCTTTCTTTCTTTCTTTCTTTCTTTCTTTCTTTCTTTCTTTCTTTCTTTCTTTCTTTCTTTCTTTCTTTCTTTCTTTCTTTCTTT